AGAATGTGATATTTGGAGGTTTAATACTGATTTTTAATATTTGAAATGTTTGAAATTTAAGTTGTGAAGTTGTTTGGAACCAAATTGCAAATTTGGAAGAATTTAGAGGTGGAATTCAAAAAGGTACTAAAAATATAGGGACTTGATTGCAAGTTTTTTTAAAATGTGAAAGTATCATTTGGCTAAATTAGAACAATTCTGGAAATTTTAGAAGCTTGTTGATTTTTGAGTTTAAGTATTAAATTGCAAGTTTATAAGGTTAATGGTTGAATTCAAAAAGCCTAAGAAAGTTTAGGATGAAATTGAAAGCTTTTAAATGTTTAAGTGTTGATTTGAATATTTTGTTAAGGTGCTGGAAATTTTACATAATTAATGTGAAATGATCATAATAGTGAAGGGCTATTATGAATTTAATGGAAAAGTTAAGGTGAATTCTAGAAAGAATTCAAATATAGTGTCTTGATTGTGTAATTGGCAAAAGTCGAGGGGTTAAAGTTGGAAACAAATATTGTTGGGAATTAAAGAGTATTTTGAGAAGTTTGAAATATTGATAAAAGTATGACTTAGTTTAGTATCAATTAAGTATCGATTTTTATTTTATAGACTTTTATATTTTTCAGTTTAAATTATGTTAGTTCGAAACTAACATATATTTTGAATATGTGATGTTATGATGTCATATTGTCAGACTACAATAAACTTAGTGATCCAAACGACTCGAAAGCAAAGGACAAAGCACGTGAGTAGAAATACTGTGTATAAAGGTTCGGTAGTTAAGCAAAGGTGATTGTAGTTTATTTATTTAATTGTTTTAATTGAGGACGACTTGCGATAAGTCGACCTTATATTATTTTTCAAGCATGTTTCTACTTTAATTATGGATTATTTCCATAATGATTATATAAATTTTTTATGAATAATTTAGGGTATGATTTGCCCAAGTATGAGTTTTATGAAAATGAATATCAAATGTTTATGATTTTCTGACGTTGATTAATAAATAATTATATTATGAATTAAAAGCACACTGTATTTTGCATTGAGAGTCGTACGTACATTTGTCATGCCATTTAGTTGAGTATTTTTTAGTTATCAGTTCAGTTATGGTACATTCGTGTACCCTATGATCAGCACCGTTGGTGCACAGGTTATGATTGTATTGTAGTGCATCATATTTCAGTATTAGTTATGAGTGGCACTGTGACGTGCCTAGTGCGCACCTTACTCACGTACATTTTGTTCTCATAAATATGCACTGGGTTATGAAAATGAATACAAAAGTTTTTATATAGCTTTGAGTCGACGGAAAGCATGTTGTGATTATCTTATCAGATATTGTTTATCATAATTTCATGAATTCATGAAATAAGATGAATTTCAAGTTGCAGTTAAGAACTGACTTAGATAATTCGGATTGTCGGTTTAATGTTTTATTTAAATTATTTTATTTATATTTATGAAATTTTCTTGTTTTATATCACCTTAGCTTATTACTGTTTCATAAGTTATACTTAGCGCGTGATGATTTTTATGTGTAGGTTATGATAGAAATAAGAACGAGTAGTTAGGAGCCTCCTGAGCATCTTTTTGGAAGTCATATCTATTATCAGTATCAGTAAGACATCTTCGATGTTATTTTTTACTAATAGTGGCATGTATATTTGTATTATAGGTTTACTTTATCAATTTTATTTAATTGGTTTGTAATAGTAAACTAGGACTGCTTTCTGTTGACTAGTTTAGTTTTATAAGTATTTTGCATGAGTAGAATACATATAATTTATATATTTTAAAATGATTCAGAAACTCATGCAATTTTATATAGTTTTCGGTAACATACTAAACTGACTAATTATTAAATGAAAACAGATTTATTTTCTATGACAAAATATTAATTATTAATTTATAATTTCATGTTAATAAGAAAATAATTTTAAAGTTGAAATATGAATGTTTTTTTAAATGGAATAAAATTTTAAGTATTTCAGTTCAGGGAAAATATATTAAGTTGATGTGACATTCATAGCTCGTATTTCAAGACGTATACAAGTTCTCATTCTATTTTACTTATAATAGTCATGAATGTATTTATCCTAAATATATATGACAAGATAATATTAATGATATTTTATTTAATTACTGAAAGTATCATAGTTCTACTTTTTTTTAAAATATTAAGGTAATACGTATTTAATACATAAACTATCAGTTTTGATTCTTTTTAATACATAAATTTTTAATTTTCAAAATCATACATAAGTTTAGTTTTTGTTTCATTTTAGTACCAGTAGTTAAAAACTTAATGCGTATAATACCTAAATTATCAATTTTGGTTGGTTTTAATACCTAAACTTTAATTTTTTTTCAAATTTTAACGTTAAATTTTGAACGGATATTAAAATGAAACAAAAGCTAAACTAAAATTTTAATTTTTTTAAAAAAAATTAAAAGTTTAGATACTAAAATTGATAGTTTAAATCATAAATATTAGTATAAAAAGTTAGGAAAACATAAATTATTTTCAAAAATGGTGGGTCCCTAGTGCAATTTTATGAGGACTGTATATGAACAACTAATAAACACGTAAAAGCCCGTCTTTATAATTCTGATTGTAGGAGATCTTTAAATTGCTCTTAATCTAACGTTGGGATAGCCTAATACCTTAATTCTCCTTCTCCCATTACATATGAGAATAGGATCAGTTAATTTGTAAAAGCCCGCCAATTATAAATTAACAAAAAAAAAATAGAAAAACGAAACCAATTGTATTTAAATGAGAATCAACGAGAGAGAGGGGAAACAAAAGCAGAACCTTCATTCTGTGGTGACCCTCGTAATGGCGGAGCAGCTTCCGGTGTTAGCAACGACGGAGATGGGGGGATCTAGAGAGAAAACAATGAACAATCAAACCGCTTCAAAGCAATAGTTCATTTTTTTCTAGGTTTTCTCATCCCATTAGATTCTTGTGTACATCTCATTTTTCGAGTCTTCCAATGAATTTGTCTCCCCATTCTGCATATTCCTGACAAATTTTCCAAACCCCAATCATTCAGGTAAACTTTCAAAAACCAAAAAGTTCTTTATATTATTTACATTTTCTTTTTGCCTATGATTCATTATTCGTTTGTTTAGCTCTGAAAATGCCATTTAAAAGCTTTGTTCGGGGGATTGGAAAGATATCAAAGAAAAAATCAGGGACGAGACATAAGCTTCGGCGGGGTCGAGCCCATATTACTCCAGAAGCTTCTCTCTCTTCTTTACCTGGTTCTTCAACTGTACAAATCGAGCAGCGGCAATGGGAAAATTTGCCACCGGAATTACTCGTAGATATAATTCAAAGAGTGGAATCAAGGGAACAATGTTGGCCTGGAAGGAGAGATGTGGTTGCTTGTGCTTCAGTTTGTCGCTCATGGAGGGAAATTACTAAACACATTGTTAAGATACCTGAACATTGTGGATTCTTAACTTTCCCAATCTCTTTAAAGCAGGTAAAAAAAAATTTCGCCCTTTATTTTTGAATAAAAAAATCGGTTCTTTTTAGTGTTTTGTTTGTTGTTTTAAGCCTGGGCCAAGGGATACGCCGATCCAATGCTTTATTAGAAGGGATAGAGCAACTTCAACGTTTCGATTGTATATGGGTCTCTGTCCAGGTAATTGTTTCTTCTTGAAAATGTGTTTTTTGGTTCTTTAAACTATATGTTTTAGCCTGATAATTTGTTCATAAGTGATAGTTATTTGTATGTTATGAATTTATAGGTCTTTCAGGTGAGTTGAGTAAATTGTTACTAGCAGCAAAACAGGTCAGAAGGGCTACTGGTATTGATTTTGTTATATCTTTAGTTGGGGATGATTTCTCTAGATCAAGCAACAAGTATGTTGGAAAAGTCAGGTAAGCTCTTAGATGTGTTAAACTATTACTTTCTTAAGGATTGGTTGGTCCGCTCTTTTGTTAAATTTAAGAGTGAAGCTTTTTAACAGATCTAATTTCCTGGGGACCAAGTTCAACATTTTCGACAGTCAACCTCCGGAAGATTCTATAGCATGCTCCCGTTGTCGATCATGTCAAAAAACACATCTCGAAAAGGTGCCTTCGAGGGTAACTATGAGTAACTATAACACTGCCAAGATATCTTATCAGCTCAATGTTCTTCGTACGAGAGGTCCAAGGAGAATGCAGTGTACCATGCACTCGATCCCCATCTCCATCATTGAAGAAAGAGAAACTGCTCCTACACCTATGGCATTTACGAATTGCCTTGAGCATTCTTCTTCCTTGTTAGATTCAACGGGAATAAGGCCACAAGCTGGATCCGATTCAACTGGCAATTGTACAACACTGAAGTCAATGCCATATGCACCCTTAGTCTTGAAAAATAAAGCTCCTAGATGGCATGAACAGTTGCAGTGTTGGTGCCTAAATTTTAAAGGACGAGTTACGGTGGCCTCTGTAAAGAATTTCCAGTTGGTTGCTGCTGTGGAGCCAAGTCGAAATGTTACAGTAGCTGATCAAGAAAACGTGATTCTGCAATTCGGGAAGATTGGCAAGGACATTTTCACCATGGATTACCGTTATCCACTCTCTGCCTTTCAAGCCTTTGCAATCTGCTTAAGCAGCTTTGACACAAAACTTGTATGTGAATAACAGTTATCTTGTTCCTTCTACTGGCATGATCATGTGAGCGTTCACTAAAATTTGGTTGTAATTTGTAAATATTCTCTTCGGTTGTACTTTAGGCTAGCCATTTCATAGGCAATAGCCTTTGTTACTCTGCAATTATGTAATTAGGGCTACAAACGAATGCTAAGTTTGAGTATCTGTAGACATTCAGCAGCCTTTATATTTAATGTTATGAAATATCCAATAAATCATGAAAATGCAGAAGGCATTATGGGCCTGGAGCTTGATTGTGGACAATTTGACATCTTTATTGTGTGTATCATAGTCATTCTCTATATCTTGTTTGCATATGCGGTCTGCAAACTGGTAAGTATTTATTACATAGTTTCAATTTATGTTACCATAGAACCCCTTTCTCTTTTTGTTTGTTCTTCCCCTCACAGCTGTAGCGGCAACCATGTCGTCGAGGCTTTTTGGGATTATCTGGGTCCGAGCCACTTGATTCTGCAAAAAGCGCTCTGAGGCATCTTCTTCGTACTGTAGGCTCACGTGTAAGCTTCTCCGTTGATGTAATATTACATTCAGCCTTGCGTGGCTCAGCATGCTCTGCCTTAGTACTGGACTTGATTAATTCTGCTAAATTGTGTAAAAGTTCAAGATGAACACCTGGATTTTGTGCATTCACAGAACTTTCAGACACAAATGAATTATTGATGCTTTGTATGTTATTATTGACATATGCTCTTGATGCTGGATTTTCTTTGGTTGCTGAATCCTTAGGCGTCCTTCCCCTCAAGCTTCCTTCTCCATCAGTGGTAGCATCAGGGCTGTCATCTGGGTTGATCTTATAACCCCGGTGAATGTGCACTAATCCATCCTTTTTGCTTGATTCTGAACCCAAGTGAAAAGATGCTCCTCTATTTTCACCTGCTAGGGTTAGAACACTGATTAACTGTTGTTCTGTTGGCAGCTGTGGTTGCCCTGTGGTGAGCTTATGAACAAACTTAGAAATATCTTCCCTGATCTCTTCATGCAAGGGAACTTGTTCCCAATTTGAAGAGACATGCTTTTGATGAGCTTTATTTGGTGTGCTCTCAATTTTTGGATTCAGCATAGTTTTCATTTCTTTTTCATCCGTGCTTGGTGTTGTCAATCTCTTCTTTGTTCCAATTTCTTCTTGCTTTTTCTGGTGTCGTTTTCGTATCTCCGGGGCAGCCTCAAATTGCTCTCTGGTTTTCATCCCACCATCATTTGTTGAAGGAAGGAGTTTAGTAACAGTTCTCTGCTTGGGCTCTTCATGAGTTGAAGCCTTTGCTGTTTCTTTCCTGCGTTCTTCCGCAACCATCTTCCTTTCTGCCCTTTCTTTCGGCTTTAATGATGCTGAAGGTTTTTCTGTAGTTGCGCCAGTAATTGGTGCAACTTCTTTTATCTCAACTGATGCCTCTGAAGGCTTTACTGCAACACCAGATGGCTCAGTATGTTGTGAGGCAGACGGTGGGGATTGACTGGAACTTGGAGGTTGGGACCTTTCTTGTATAGCTGTTGGGGATTTATTTGGAGACAATGCTTGTGCTTGAGTGGCTCGATGTGATGGAGAAAAGGGCTGCGGAGATGTTTGGCCTGTTGGCTGAGAGGTCAAACGCGATGAAGATTGTTGCTTGGAGACTGCCTGTTCTGTTGATTGAGGCCGGGAAACAATGCGAGATGGAGATGGAGGGACTGAGACAGCCCTTGCTTGTGTGGGTACCCGAGACGGTGTTCGAGATTGCAAGGTATCCAGAGTTTGAATTGCTCCACGAGATGCTGATAATGGATGAGGTTCTTTTTTTCGGGTGGGTGCTTGAGGATGGGTCGGAGGGGTCTGTTGTGGGGCAGTCCCGGGAGGCCGAAATGGTGGTCGTTGGACAGGGGTCGTAGTGTTTGGCTGGGAAGGGGCTTCAGTTTGAGCTGCAGGACGTGCAGCAGCTACAGGACGGGTAGTCGCAGCTGATGACAGCCACGGGAGTCGAAAACGGAGAAGTTGCCTCTGCTCTCCCATCTATGATATCAAGAAATCCGAAAAAAAAGAAAGAGAAGAGAACAATGAATGAGAATCAAGATGGATGGTGTTTGGGGATGATATAACTCAATATGATGTGTGGTATGCGTATATAGGTTTGAGTCTGATGCCTTGGAATGTAACTTTCTTCTTGCTTTTGCAACAGGGCAAATCATTTTTATGAAATGTTCTGGATTCTTAAAGTAAGCATGTATCTTTTCTTGTCTGATAGGGATAGCATCTGATATTTGTTCATTGTTGCCTTCAATGTCTTCGTTAATCTTTTCTTACAGGCATAAATCATTGTTCCACCCACGTGAGTCATGTTTCTCTCACGAGCAGCTCTGAGGATACGGTCTAATTATGGTTTTAATTCCTCTACTAACCTAAAATGTGATACTTAATCCTTCTACTTAAATTTGTCATAATTTGATCCATCCACTTTTATAATGTTATAAACAAAACAACCATGGCTAACGTGATGGCATGGATTTTATTATAAGAAAATTTCATTTAAAGTCAGCCGTTAACATTGCTATCAATTGGGATTTGGTATATACTAACAGAGGGATCAAATTGTGCTGAGTTAAAGTAGAGGGATCGAATCTTGGATTTCAGCATGGTAGAAGGGCTTAAACCTCAATTACATTTAACAACAATAATACTGCAATGTAAACAAGCCTAGAGATCCGTTCAAAATGTATTGTTGGTTTCATGCTTTAATTCCATGGAAGCAAGGAAAAGAAGCTTCCCGCAAAAAGCACAAGCAGAGCAAGGTTTTGGGTTTCCTCTGTCTAGTTAATCAAGAAAAGAATTCCTTTCCTTAAATTAAAGAAATTTCAAGGCAATATTCTTGGATAGAAAGGGCCATCAGCTTCATTATCAATTGTCCATAGTACCATTAGAAGCTGCTTTTCTTTTCTGAGGTATGCAATTCTGAATTATAACGTAAAACATATATATACACTTGTAAAAGTATGTATGTATATTTGTATCTGATCATTAGTTTACAGTGGCAACATAATGCAAGGGCTGATCCAAGGACTAAGATCATGCTGGCAGGAAATGATTTAAGGTAAGCAATTCTAAGGCATTCAGGAGGCAGTAAAACCATGATGTCTTCTCAATCCATGGAAATGGAAGAGAAGGGATTAGAGAACACGACAGTAGAAGATGTACCGATGACAAAAGGTGAAGAGACAGTCGGGTCTTGGATTTGGTGCCGCATCAATGACAATGTTGATGATGCCATGAAGAATGTAAGTAGCATGCATCACTTACAACTACCACCCTCTGCTCTGCTGTAGAATATTTTTATTAAAAAGAAGCAAGCAAATTTTGCAGATGGCACAACATAACATTGGGTCATTGGTGGTGTTAAAACTGGGAGACCAACAACATATTGCAGGAATCATCACTGAAAGAGGTAAAACAAATAATTAGCATAACAAGGAGTTTCAGTATGAATATAATTATTGTCTTAATTTGGGAGACTAACTGAGGAAGATCATTGGGCAAGGAAGATCACCAAAATGCACGAGAGTGGGGGAAATCATGACCAATAAGGTGTTTTCTCTCTTTCCAAACACTTTTTTCTTCTTTATTTGTGTTTTTGCTACCATTAAATCTATCATTTTTGAAACAGGAGAAGCTAATCACGGTGAAATCTGATACAAGCATTCTTCAAGCAATGCAACTTATGACAGGTAAGGCTTGTGCATTGGACGGTAATTTATGAGAGTATCTCTAGTAGTTCTGTTGTATCTAAAATTAATATACGTCGAATTTTAGCTTAAAATGTTATATTGTAGCGAGTTTTAACCTTAAATATTAGTTTTTTACTTTAAAAGTTTCACAAGTGATAATAATTTCAATTACAAATAAAAATGTCTTCAATAGTTACGCAAGTTATATGATTTATTATAAAAAAATGTAATATTCTCGGATATTCAAAATAAAACGTTAATTTGTTGTAAAAAGTAACGCTCTGGTAAGTTTATTCTAACTTAATGATTGTATTTTAGACTTATTCGAGAATATGAGCTCAGTTTCACTTTGATTTGGCAACCAGACAATCACATACGGCATGTTCCGGTGATAGATGGGAGAGTAGTGGGCATGGTTTCTATAGTAGACGATGTCCGGGGTGTGGTGGAACAACAATATGGAGAATTGAACCGACTCAACAACTTCATCAAAGGAGATTACTACTAAAATTACTTCTTTTTTAATAAAAAAAAATTGTATAAATCAATAACGTCGAAAATTATGCATTGCATTGCAGCAGTAGATCAACGATAAAAACTGAAAACCATGTTCAATGCCTCAAAAGAGAATTAGGTTGACAGACAAACCATCAAAGCTTTATCTCACTAGTTCATCAATTACATCCCCACTTGCTACTGGGTGTACTTGTAAATTTAACTAACCATCTTATTCATCTCTTGCAAGCAAAGGATTCTAACGACTAGGCTATCTATTTAAGGGTCTTCTCTGGCTGAAAGTCCGAGATGCCATCAGAGCCATCTTCAATTGCTCCGATGCCTTAAAGCCCTTCGACTCCATTATCCCATGAATCCTTCGAGCATCGTGCACAAATCCACCAGCAATTAGTGCATTTATAGCTCTCTCAAACTCATGGGGACCCAATTCATCCTTCCTAGCTTCCAAAACTCCAAGGGCCTGGAGAGCTTTTTTCTCGATTCCAGCCCTCGAGTACATATCACAGAGGCTTACATGAACCTTTAGAGGAGGAACTTCACCAAGTTCTGCTATCTTTCCCAATAGCTGTTCGACCTCATCAACCAGTTCCAATTTACCAAACCAACCCAGGAGAACAGAGTATGTTGCTATCCCGGGTTCGAAACCATCCTTCTCCAGCTGCATTAGAAGGTCTAAGCCCTTCTCCAATAAATTTTTCTTCTCATAAGCTGCGATCATGTTGGCAGTGCACTTGTCATCTGGTTTGTGGCCATGTTTTATCATGTTGTCAAAGTTGCTCCTGGCTTGATCAGGGTCACCACCTTTCCCATGTGCCTCAACAAGTAGTGAAAAATACTCCATATTCAGTTGGAATGGGGAAAACTGCATGATATTCGCAATTTGACTAGCTCCCATACAATCACCATGGTGAGCAAAAGACCGGAGTAAAGCCATGTAAATCTCCTCCGAAGGTTTGATGTCTCTTGTTTCCATCTCTTTAAGCAAAGACTGAGCAAGTCGAGTTTCTCCAGCATTAATGTATGCCATTATCATTGATCTGTAGATTTTCACATCCGGCAGGAAGCCATAGCTTCTCAAGCTTTCAAACGCTTCTTTAGCACGATCAATATTACCCACCTTGCTATACATGTGAACAAGAATTGTAGCTGTTAAACTATCAGGCATTATGCCACTTTCAACCATCTTCTTAAGGATTCTCTCGGCACCTTCTACATCAGTCTCTTTAGCATATGCATCAATCAGTTTGGTATAGTCACTACCACTTGTTTGGAAAGATTCTTCACGCAGGACCAGTTCTGTAATCTATGAATATTCAACATCATAATAACAAGTTCAGAATTTGTAGGTCCACTCACATTTTACAACGCAAATGCTCATTTTTAAATGTCTTGTTCAACTAGATCAAAAAGAGAAAACACTTCTTAAACATATACATATACATATAATTTATGAAACGAGAAATAGAAATGCATATGCCTAGAAACCAAATCCACTGGACCCTTTCCATTAAGAGGCAAAAGTCAACTAATACTGCCACTTAATAATTTTCAAAATAAAAATAGTATTAAAACGATCAATATGAAAAGCACAACAATATCAATGATGAAGTGTAATAATAAAGAGGAATTCAGCAGGAAAAAACTTATGGTAGGCACGATTCTCTAGCTGTTATAAGCAGATAAACTCCTAGAGTGTTTGAACAATAACACATAGCTATGAATGAAATGCATCATATGAAAGAGAAATGAGGAGGAGCATGACTTTCATGACCTCCAGGAAGAAATAATATAGGATGATGCACTAGCGCACACATATATTATAATATATCACAAACTTGCATAGAAAAACAAAAACTCAATACTAATAATCAATAATATGAGATATAAATCATGTAATAACAGGAAAGTATCAAGCAAGTTATTGTGAAGGCACGGGCTGGACAAGAGAAAATCTATACCTTCAAGTGTATGTCAGGATTTTGTTGTTCCAACTTTTCGAGCAAAGTGATCCAGTCAACACGAGTTGGTTGCAGAAGTTCTATCCATTCAGCCAAAAGCTGTGAAGGATCATCCTCCTTTTTTAATGACAGGATTTTCTCCAAGACCAATTTGCACTTCCCATGTATTGGCTTTGGCTCTTTAGGCCAAATCATTTCCTCTCTCTCATGGATTTTATGAGCCACTTCAGCCCACTTAGGATCCGACATATCAAGTCCATATATCTTATACTTAATATTTCCCTTTCTTTTAGGAAGAGACGCAACCTTTGGTGTATCTTCTGTTGCAACACCATGTTTATCTAAAACATTTCCAACCTTCTCTTGCTTTTTATGCCTAAACCGTTCTAAACTCTCATAAAAATCTTTCTCCTCCATCTTCTCTTTAGCCCATTTGAATCGAAGCTCCCTCAATAAATCCCCACGAATCCCAACTTCACCCGCAAACCTACACATTTCTTTCACTTCTTCCGATTGCAAAAACAGCTTCATCTTCTCCTTCTTCCTCGCCTTCTCCATATCCTCCAACACCATATTACTCACTTCCCATACAGTCCTCCATAAATCTTCACTAAATTCCTGCGTCGGCATCGCCACTGTCGAACCGACCATCTGCTGAATACCACCCTTCTCCATCTCTTCCACAACCTTCTCCACAATGACTAAAAGCATCCCATCAATTGTCTCCTTATTACAATCCGTGTATACTTCAGTTAGCTTCCCTCTCGTTATCCAAATGAATCGAGATAAAAACTCGTTCACAGCTCCATCCTCCTCATCCTCAGATTCACTAGACACAAGTTTTGCTTCAACACCAGCATAACTTAGCCTAGTTTCTCGGGTTGAGTAAATATATCTAAGAAAAGGGAAAGTGGGTTTAGGGTTTTTAGGGTTTTGAAGATATGCATAATTTTGACCACTACTTACTTGATGGATGGAAGGAGATATTGCGGCTGAAATGGTAGACAAGTCCTTGGACCTCACAGAAGCTGGTTTGGCATTGATTTTTGATAAATTATTGATTGTTTTCCCAAAAACTAAATGCTTCAAGTTCATGTTTACTCTACAATAGAAACCAAAACACTGGTGCCGTATTCCTCAGAAGCTTAAAGAAGACCAATGAAAATACTGATTATAAAATGTAAATACCTGGGAGATAAACAGTCAGGGATGATATGAAGCAAGTCGATTAAGGGAGATGAGCCAATCTGTTTGGTTCACGAGAAAGAGAGAGAAAGGTGGGCGGAGGCGAAGGTTGCCCTGAAAGTAAAGTGTTCAAATGGACGGCTTAGATTTGAAGGGTTTAGTAGAGAGACTGATCAGAAGGGGAGATGACTAGGGCTTCTTCCTCTCATTGTTTTTTGTTTTGTTAGAGAAGATAATTAGTAAAGCGGCAAACGGACAGTTCTTGTGCACAGGCTGACCATCCAATCATTTTGGGTTTGGGCTTTATTTTACCCCTTTTTTTTTAGGTTTGAAACTGCTTTTTCTTTTAACAGTTAACATTAGTTTGAAGAGAAGACATTAGTAAAAATAAATAAATTTTAACTTGATTTTTAAATTTTAGGTAAAACACTAATTTGAGCCTAAACTTTAGACAAAATGCTACTTTAATCATTAATCTCTAAATAAAATTATATTTAATCCACACATTCAATCAAATTTTTCACTATTAATCGTCGCTCATCACTATTATTGATTAATATTGATTTTCATTATTGATCATCATTAACCATCCAACTTCACAAATTTGATTTAGAACCCTTAAGCAGTTAGTTGGTAGATTAATAAAATATGTATATTACTCGATCTGAATAATAACTTTAATCTAATAAAAATTTAATATATTGTAATTTTATATATCTATTATATATTTATCAAAACATACTTAAATACTATTAAAATAAATATTTAGAAGGTTTGGAAAATAAATAATTTGAAATTTAAAATAAAAAATCAAAGCTGACTGGCTAGGGGCGTTGAGGCCTGGGGCTTGGCCTAGGGCTGGGGGCTAATATTCTTTTTAAATTATAATTTTATTGACCGTATTTAAGGTAGCATTTGGTTCTCTGTAATGTTTATAAGGGAATTGGAATCTTTGAATGAATTAGAATCTGTCAGGAATTGGAATATAATTCCATATTATGTTTGGTTGGCACGAAATGAAATTTAAATCCAATTCCATATTCTGTTTGGTTCGCAGACATATCAAATGAATTTGATTTCAGTAATGTAAAATGACAGAATTACCCTTCTTGTTTTTCTTTTGCTTTATTTTAGTTTGTTTTACAACTTACATGTAGTAATATATTATAAAAAATTAAAAAATATTAAATTCTCATTTTATTGATTGATTATTCATTTCAATAAATTATAAAAATCATACTAATAAACATCATAAGTTAAAATCATCGCAATCAAAAAATGTTAATAAGTGACCAAAAGATAAAACAATATTTTGATACATTTCAATCAGAGTATGTTAATTAGTTACAAAAAAATATATCAAAAACTATTTTTATTCAATATATGAATTAGAAATTCGACCCGACACGACACAAAATAATAATAATAAATTATTTTTATTCAATAAAAACATTGACTTAATTGGAAAAAAAATATATAGAGGAGTATTATTGTAATTATTCCTAAATATATAAGCTAAAATTATATTATTATTTTTTGGGTCGGTCCAGTTTTTTTCACCCTAAACCCTAACCCGACCCGAATATCACCCTTAAAAAACCCGACCGACCCGAACAAAATAAAGTTTCACCCGACCCGACCCAAATATATGAATTAGAAATCCGACCCGACCTGACCCGAAATAATAAAAAATTATTTTTATTCAATAAAAACAGTGACTTAATTGAAAAAATATATATAGAGAGGGGTATTATTGTAATTATTCCTAAATATATAAGGTAAAATTATATATATTTTCGGGTCGGGTATTTTTCACCCTAAACCCGAACTCGACCCGACCCGAATAGCACACTTAAAAAAACCGACCCGACCCGACCAAAATAAAATTTCACCCGACCCGAATATATGAATTAGAAACCCGACCCGACCCGAAATAATAAAAAAATATTTTTATTCAATATATAAATAAGTTACCAAAAGATTGATAAGAGTAGTATGATCAAATTTCAATTCTTTCCAATAAGGGAATTGAATTTCATCCATTCTTGGATGGAATTCGCTTTCCCTCCTTTGATGGAAAGTTGAAGCTATGAGGGATTCCAATTTTCTTAAAAAACTTGAACCAAACATGAGAAAGTGGTGGAATTTGATTCTAATTCTCCCAATTTCAAGGAATTTCATCCAACCAAACGCCACGAATTTTTACACCATCGAATAACAATCCAATATCTTCTTCGAGTTTCACACCATCAAACATCCATAAACAATTGTTTTATTTGTTGTATGTCAGTATAAGCGTGGATCAGATCGAAAAGAATGACTTATGATTGACTAAATTCAAAACCCATCAACGCTGCTATTTTAGTTGAGTGTTATTTTTGATAAGCCAAAGAGGGATGGCGAAGGTTGGTTTGGTTGTCGTATTCTGGTTGAGTATACCTGTTTCAGTATTAGGAGACGACGACCAAAACAATGACTTCACCGAAAACGTGTTGATCTCGCCAGGAGATGAAGCCGAGACTATGAAGGGCTCAATGACTCAATTATTTTCACCAGAGGTGGGCAAGGTTACTACAGAATTCGAAGGTGCAGCCGTCGACATTGAATCCTCCTGAAAAGATGCAGCCAATATGATGGAGGAGGAGACTAAGTCATTCGTTAACAAAGCATTTGGACCCGCCGCATCGGCTCCCTTGCCCTCCGTGAGTATCGGCAAGACCTTCTCATGGGGTTACTGTGTCCGGAATTTCCACAGCACTTCCCCCATAATCAAGGTTAGATTCTGTTGATGATCTGAGTAAGGAGAGAAAAGGATAGGAGATTTTTTTTTTAAATATGATGAACAACGAGGGTGAGATTGATTATCCTCGTTGAAAAATAGACCGTTGTAAACCGAGACATTTAACACTGATGAAAAAATATAAAATAAAATACATAAGCAAAGATTCGATTAACCGTGTCGCGGTATTAACCATTGTTTTATAAATAAATTCGTTCTAATATATGTAGTCGCTATAAATAGACAAATGATCCCCTCGATTAGTACGGGTCTCCAAGTTTCGTACATCTCGAAGATATCTCAACTCAGAACAACATTCAAGGAAAAGTTTACGAAAATCAAAGTGTGTTTCAAAGTAAATGTCATTTGCTTATGGATGTATCAAATGAGAAAAGATGTGCACAATTTATAAGCTAAATAATCAGGGAAAAACTATCATTTCAATATAACAACATTAAAATAGTCTTTAAAATAAAAATTAAACAGTAGTACAAATGTTTTAATTCTGAGCATTAACAACAATCCTTACCTTCAAATTTATCTATTGAAGGACCTGTTTGCTAGCTCGAATCCGCTTGCATTGGTGAGAAAATTGCGACGATTTGCAAATGGAACTGTCAACTGTGCTGTGTATTCCAGACTGATTTTGAGAAGCTTGCTCGGACATGATTCCAACAACGATCTGATCATACACGAATCCATGCCCGAAAATATTGTGTTTGGAATGATATTTTAGATTTTATTGATATTTTAATATATTCAAAGTATAAAACATGTATGATGTAGTGTTTTAATAAGTTCTCACGTCGTTTGTAGAAGTGTTTGAGCATTCATTATCAAATGGTTCGAGCACGTCGTCTGCAGAGGTGTTTGTTTTATGTGTCCCAGGATGGGCTCAAGTATGCTGGTTTCCTCTCAATTACTTGGTGATAATTTTAGCCTGCGTTTTTGATTGTTTCTATTTTGGTTTGGTTTTGATGCTGATATTTCTATTGAAGTGAATGAAATCAAGGTAATAATCAGTCTAAACATCTTTTCTTCAATTGCAAACCTTTCAACTTGGTCTCCCACTTACATGTTTGCAAGTAGTAGACATGGAAAAACGATTTTGTTTCGGCATAGCAAAGGCATATTCTATATGGCTCTGGCTCAACTGCCATCCTCCTACAAGTATCTCTATTATCTGCTCATTTGCATGATCAATACATTTACATTCTTTTGATGAGCAGCAACTTATCTTCACGTTTGGGGAGAGCACTGCACCTTAGGAATAACTATTCTATAGTTCAATACGGCATACCTGTAGACGACTGTTAAGCTAGGCACATCTAGCTAATTAAGCTTTCGATATAGAACTCAGACGAACCATGTGGAAATTTTATGTCACTGGTACAGCCGCTCAGATAGAAGACAGTAGAAAACTGTGTCGTAACCGGTTTTCGTCCGGGCACGAAATATTTATTTAGCGGGAAAATTGATGTAAATAAATGGTTTTGAAAATAATTTGGGGAGTCGCCATCGGCCTTTTGAGTCAGGTGGTCGAATACCTAAAAAAATTATCTTTTAAAAGAGTTTTTAAGAAAACATCAGTTAAAAGATAAACTGATCTGCGTTTTAACCAAAAATTCGTTCTTTTTAATAGTAAAAAGGGATTCGTGGTCGGTTACGTTTAGGGAAGGATTAGCACCCCTACAACGCCCAAAAGTGATACTTTTTAATTATAAATTGTCTCTATTATTAAAAATTTAAAAATTTAAAATATATTTAATTTATAATCCTATTATTTCAAAATTATAAAAAAATATTTATTTATTTAAAAATATCAGAAAATTCTAGGTGCCTTAAGACAGCTCTTTTCTTTGATATTAATAAATATTTAAATAAAATTAAAATAATTTTTTATTAATATTTAATTTTAAAATACCAGAATAGGACATCCAGTTGTATTAAGACTGCCATATTCTTCGATATTGAAAAAAAAATAATTTATTGAAAAATAATAATTATTATTATTATATATATATTTATGACTACATAATAATAATAAAATATTTAAATATATAAACAAGTAAAATTAAAACAATAAGAATACAATTAGAACTATATATTTAAAAGCAATAAAATAAATAAAATATTTAAAATTAATGACTAAATTAGTAAAATGAAATTAAATACTAATTCATAATTAATCAAAATTATAGGGATTAAATGCTATTTCCTTATTATTAATTTATTGACTAAAATAAAATTATATAAAATTCGGATATTAGATTAAATAAATTAAAATTACTATTCAGATTAAAAAAATAATTATTAAAATAAAGGACTAAATCTGTCATTTTACTAAATTATTATTTTAATACAAGGACTAAAATAAATAAAATTAAAATTAAAGAACTGAATTAAAAGGATTATAAATTGATTTAGTGACTAAAATGTA